TTCTTGCAACTTCCCCCTTAACCTCTTTAGGGAGAGACACTCATAGGAGGGCTTTCGTTGGTGAGCTTAGACAGCAAGCAGAAATATGTGAAGTAAGGCACTTTATATTTGCCTGTTCATCACCAGTGAAGACTAGCATATTCTGGGGACCGGTGGGCAAAACGCCACCACTAATCTTCTAAAGACACATACATACATGACATCAACCATTCTGCTTTTTCCAACTCTTGCATGCCCCTTTTTGAGCCTTTTTAGAAGAACTCTGTGCACAAGTCAGTCCCCTTGAATTCAGGTGAGCACATGTCGGATTGTAGTGTAGTTCATAAAGCAATCACATTTGGCCCTGTCTTCCCTGCTTCTCTCATGTAATTTGTAAGAACTTAAAATACTTGCTCTGGACGACTGTTCTCCTCAACTCCAACCTTCAGAATAGAAATACCTGCATCAGTGGAGGAGTCCAAAATAGCATGTACAGTAGTGGCTTAGGGCAGCTCCAGACAGTGGCTGGTTCACACATCTCAGCAACCCAGGTTGTTGGAAGCAAGCAGATTAGTTATGCGGCGCAAGAGTGAAAAACTGGAGTGGCCAAAGAGCCCTGGTGGTCATTCCAGGCAAACCAGGCCAGCTGTTGCCCCACCAAGCAGAAGAAAGCTTTGTATGTTTTTGCAGGTTGCCTCTGGAAATTAGGAGTTTGTTGCGCATCCGGCAGCCAGAAGCACACCACAACTTTGTGGCTCTTGTGTTATGTCCAGAGCTCTGCACCCACTTTCTTTCCCTTCCTTCCTTCCTTCCTTCCTTTCGAAGCTAACCATGGTTTGTACTGCATGAGTGCTGAGCTCAGTGCTAGCCATGGTCAGCTGCAAACCAAAGGTTGCAACCATCCTAAAACGGGGCTTCAAATTAGTTTGAGTTTACTTATCATGGTTATTGTTGTAACTGATGGCTCAAAACTGTAACAATGGACCACTTCCAAAAAGGCAGAAGAAAAAATTATACAGGGATGTAAGGAAATTTACCGTTGATTTTTTTGACAAAACACCTATTTAAAATTTCAACATTTCCCTGTGACAAATTTTACACCATCTAGGAGAAGTGACTGCCTTCATTTTGGGATGCACCAACTTCCACACACACACACAGTGGTTTGAAATAGAATAGTCTGCTTTTCTTAGCGAAAGGTAACACACACACATGTGCTTTGGACACTTAATATAGAAACAGCACTAGCAACAAATTGGTCAGTACCAGAAGGTCCTTTAGTGTCAGGATAAAAAGGATAGAAGGCTGGACCTCACCAATAGTTAAGATTTTCTTTTAAGCTTGTTGATCGTTTTTAAAAGGTGGTCTGCCCCTTCTGAACTGCTTCCTCTGTCTCTATTTACTAATGTCATTATTGACACCTCTGTTAATTCTAAGAAATCTGAACAGGCTTCCAAAGGTGCAATTACCAGAAGTTTTCCCCCACTGAGTCCTCTATTTAGCAAAGTTGCATGGCTCAGCTACCAAGTGTTAGGGAGGTAGTGTAATGTGGTGACGAGAATGCTAGACTAGGTCTCGGGAAATCTGGGTTTGCGTTCGTACTCAGCCTGGAAGCTCACTGGGTGAATGGGCCAGTCACACTCAACCCAGACTACCTCACAGGGCTGTTGTTGTGAGGGTAAACTGGAGAGGAGGAGAACCTTGTAAACCACCTTGAGTTCTGTGCCAGAGATGGGTACAAGTATCATGTACTACTAGCAACGTATAACTGTAATGCAATAATAACTCTTATATTAAATCAGAACACCTTGTGATTGAGGCGGCGCTTGAGAGCCCTGGGAGTGGAGGCTTTTACATGTGCTTGATGGTGTGGGAGTCACTGTGGGGGCAGTGGCAGCCGCACATGTAACAATGCATGTAAATGCAGGCAGGCTTCTTCCCAAGGCAAGGAGTCCAGGTTCTTGGAGGAAGGTGCCCTTGAGTGGAAGTTGCTGTCTCAGCTATTGTTTTCATCTCTAGAATTAGGAGAGTAATAAAGCCCTTACCTCAATGAGTGCTGTAGAATTAATGAAGTGATGCTGGGATTCATAACATTGATGGATGGCCTTATTGCACTAGGCACAAAGTGAACTCCCCATTTAATGTCGTCCCTTTAACAGAGGCATCCAGAGCCCTGTCTCGGCCTATTTTATTGGATAAATTTCAGTGATTGAGGCCTGATGATGTGGGCGAGGGTCTTGGACAATCTGGCCCACCACCTGTATGTTCGACTCTTGCCCCTCGTGGCTGATCATCAAAGCCAAGGGCAGAATGCGTTTCTGTGTCCAAGCCATTGTGAATGCCTCTTTGAAGGAGGGGCTGGTCCAGGCTCCATTCAATGCGCAGACAGATAGAGGCAGCTCAGTTTTACTCATGCATGTTCATCAAAAGAGTAGTTGCATGCAGGAGTGGCAACAGAATTAGAATTAGATAGGAATTCCCTCTCATTCTTTTCAAAGAGGCCAGTTCACACATTTCACTGTAATTCCATGGATGCACATTTTAATACTGCTGCTGTTGCACTGAATTTATATCCTGCTTATTTTTCCTCTTGTGAGGAACCCAGGGCAGCTTACACAGCTCCATTTTATCCTCACAACAACAAGCCAGTGAGATGGGGATGAAGGGAATGTGTGGACATGTGCCATTTCAGAGAGGTGGAGGCTGTTTTTGATGGAACACTTCTGGAAGTTTGCAGCCGTATTGCAAGGTGATTGCATATTCACAGTTTCAGGCACACATATTGTAGCTTTGATGCGAGTTCTTAAAGCACCCACCAACACTGTGGGGCTGGGCTCAGATAATATTATGTAAAAATCAAATCTTCCACAGTGATTCAGGAAGACCTCCTCTCTTGTGGGTTTATTTTTCGAGGTCCTGTCCTGCAGCATGACCTGGGGCACCTTGCAGGTGTCATTATGGAACCAGTGTGGGTAGTCCGTGGGCTTAGGTCTAATTTTGAGAGCCTTCTGAGAATGACCAGTTTGGACCTTTGGCAAGAAGGGTCAGACCTGTCCCCGACAGCTTTTTGGTTAGAAAGACATAAGGAGAAGAGCAGGGAAGAGAGGCAAAGTTCAACTCTGGTCTATATGTGCTCTTAGTGGATTGAAGAAGGACTTTTCCGACATACGGCATTTGTTCTGTGCTTGCCATATCCTGCTCATGGTTGCTTACAAGTTCTTTAGATGTCTGGACCTTCCAGCTTCCCTTCTATTTGCAAATGGCACTTTCCACAGTGTTTTTTTAGGGAAAGTGAAATGGGGTATTATTTTTGATGGTGAGAGAAAGTACAGTTTCCACTTGTCTATTTCTGCTATTTTGCTAAAGCACAGTGCCACCTGGAGTTTTTATAGTCAAAAAGCAAGAAACATGTCTCATGTAGTGCTGCAACAAAACCAATAATAGATGAAGCAAATTAACAGCCTTGTAAAGGAAAGCCCAGAACAAGGTTCCTGGACTGTGCTATAAAATGAGCAGACATCTGGTCACAAAGCATTGAAAACATAACTTAAAATTCATTAGTGGATATGTTTCCAAATTATGCTCCAAGTGGCTCATCAGACTAAGCAAATCAGTAGATAAATACAAGAGATGCACAGAATTACAAAAAGGCCAAACAGATCAGCCCAACCTACCTCACAGGGTTGTTGTTGTGGGGATAAGATGGAGGAGGAGAGATGATGTAAGCTGCCTTGAGCCCTTTGTAGGAAAAAGGCAGGATATAAATCGAAAAATAAATAAAATAAAATAAAATTTGTACCCTATTTCCCTTAGAATCTAACATAGCTAGGAAAATATACTAGTAATGCCTGCTACTCGAGTATCATAGATATCCACACTCCTCTAACATTTAGAAAAGAGCACGTGGCACATTTGCTATCATCTTGGTTACATCTGAGCTGTAGCCGAAACTGTGCAAGCACCTGTGCCTCAGCCCCAACCTGCCCTGTGCCCCCAACTACATTAGATCTTTGCATGTTGAGCACAAGGAGAACACTAGAAAACCAGTGTGGCACAGTGGTTATTGTGTTGAACTTTGACTTGGGAGATCCAGGTTCTAATCTCCACTATAAAGCTCACTCACTGGGTGACTTTGGGCTTGTCGCTGACTCTCCACCTACCCCTACCTTACAGGGTTGTTGTAAGATAAATGGAGAGAAGGATTATGCAAGCTGCCTTGAACTCCTGACAGGAAAAAAGGCGGGATATAAATACAATAAATCAAAAATCCATGGTTACAATTGTGATCCTAAACATACAAGTAGACTGGTCCCATTAAACTCAGTGGGAGCTACTGCCCAGTAAATATTCATGGGAGGCCACTTTATAATTTTCTACAGTCTGCATAATCTGGGTCTACTGCTCCCAGAAAGTGTAGGGTATTGCCTTTAGCAAGTTAGACCATGGGCCCGTGTAGCTCAGTTCAGACTATCCAGGATTACAGAGCAGAGTCTTTCTAAGCCTGATCTGCAGATGCTGGCACTGAACCGGGGCTCTTTTGCACCTGAACTATTCACTTCCCGACTACAGAGGTGCAGCATTTTCCTAACTAGATAATGAGATGACATTGTATGCACCAATCAGGTTTGCATCGAGTGCAATATCTGGTAGAAAATCCATCTTGTAGAATCTATGGTGGGTGGTTGTGATGCAGGTTTTCTGTGCAGCCGTGGAAGAAATCCAGTTTTTTTCCCTCAGAAGCAAGTGCCCCTCTCAGGTTTATTCAAAGACTTACCTTTCTGTTTACACTTCGCTTTGGAGGAGACGGCTTGCAATCCGTACGGAGTATCTTAGATTCCCGCTCCACCCATGGTTGCTCGGGCAATGTGGCTTTGACACTTCCACGTTATCCACTCGGTTGCTCCGCTACGTATTTTGCTCCTCCTCCTCCTGCCTTTCTTTTTCCTTCCCATCCTTGTGGATTTAGATCCCAGGTCTTTCAGAGACATTTCTACTCCGTAAAGGTCTTGCTGTGAATGTAACCCCCGCCCCAGGAAAGGGGCTTTCTGCCGCATTAGTTGCCGGGTTCCTTGCGTGAGCCATGCAGCCCCCCGTAGTCACTATGACTGACTGCTCTTTCTTCCTGCGCTCCTTCAAGCAAAGTAAATCGGCGGTGAGGCTGAAAGAAGATATGAAAAAGATCGCAGTGGCACCGCTGAGCAGGCCGAGGGAGAGCTCTTGCCGAAAAGTCTTTGGTGTCAGCCTCCAGGAACTGCAGCAGCAGGGGCTGAGCAAACATGGGATCCCAGCCGTGGTGTGCGATATTGTCGAATATTTGACTGGACATGGTAAGCTTCTGGCAAAGTACTTCTGCTTTAAAATAACAGCGTGGGGAGGTATGCCTTTAAGGGTGCATCTGCTGTATAATGTCGATTTTATCTTTGTCTATCTGTCACAGTTCTTCCTGCCCCCTCGAGAATCCTGGGAATTGTAGTATTAGACTTTCCTAGCCCTCCTGTTGCAAAGTTAGGCTTTCCCGGGTGAGGGAAGAACGATTAAGTAGCCTAAGTCTGTGGTGCAGTTCTGTGTATTATTTTATTTTACTTACTACATTTTATTTTTAAAAATTCATTTTATAAATACAAAGACAAATGAAGAAAAATAATTTGACTTGAAATGCAGTTATCAATACAAGATAATGCATTTAATGTAACACCCCTTCCCATTTACTTTATGGGCAAAAATATGGATGGAATCTAATGTTTGCTTGGAGGGTTCTTAATGGTTCTTCATAATAAATTCTATTTCTGGTGTAATCAAACTGGGATGCCTAAAAGCCTCTGAACTCAGCTAGGTGGTCGGCACTTTAGAGAGGGAATGTTATACTGTGTCCTGGAGGTTTTGGTTTTCTCCCCTCACCCCCAGGATACCCCACCTATACTATGCCCCCCAGATGTTCTCCAGTAGCCACAGGATTGCTTTGTGTCTCTTTTCCATAAGCTGCTTAGTACAATATATTCTGCCTTTCATCTACCACGGAGCTGAAAGAGTGGGTTCTTCCATTCTGTCTCCCATCCAGAAACCAACCGCAGCTAACCCACCTGCTCAGCTTCAGCAAGATGGCTCATTCTTTACCCTCGGGCCAATTCCTAGTATTTATATTATATAGTTTAGCAGTGGGGAAAATGTACCCACAATGGTTTTCAAAGTCCTCTGTGCTTGCTTGGGTACAAGGGATCCCCAACCTCTTTAGGATGATAGGTACCTTTCAAATTTTGAAAGTTTTTTATGGGTATTCTCACAAAGTAGCTGCGGGAGGTGGGGTACTGAGTCTTCTGAACTCACAATTTTCTGCTCAAAAATCCATGTTTTAGAAGGCAAACGGATGCCTTCTAAACACCTAAGTTCCCCATGAAACTAAATAGAAAGAAGAGGTAGAATCTACATTCCAAATACTAAATCTCACATTCACCCAAAAAAGATGCAACAAAATGCCCATTTTGCAGAAGACAGACTGGATATACATTGGAGTGATAGAAACATGGCAGTAGCAGACAGGCTGTCCACTGAAATATTGCTGTCACAACATGTAAGACATGAACATGTGAGACCTTCCATGTCCTCGTTGGTAAGTCACCTGCCCCAGTTCCTGTGCATGAACAACCTAGGCCTGGCCTATACATAGCTGAATGTGCCAGGATGCTGAGCTGATTGAATGAAATACACACTCCTTCAGGTGGGAGCATCACATTTTTTTAAAAAAATCACCTACTTTGAAAACTTCCTGTAAAGTAGAAAACCTGTTCAGCCAGAACCTTTCTCCATATCATGCTAGGTTCCTTTATTGCAAGTTTAAAAAAAAAAAATACCAGGAGAGCAGGTTGTATCCTGCCACCTTGTAGCAGTGATGAAGGAACTAGAAAAGACCAAGTGTAAGGAAGATCAAAGCCAACATCACCACACTACTGTATTCCTGATCACAATGCATGGGTGTGAAAGCTGAACGTTGAAGAAAGCTGATAGGAAGAGCATTGATGCTGGAGGAGAAGTTTTGCTTTGTTTTCTCTTGTTGTGTTCCAGGCCCCTGTGGTTATTGGAGTGCCTTTTTGATGTGTCATCAATAGCCTCCTGGATGCTTGAACAAAGATTTTCTGTCTCTTCTTCTCCAGCATGTTACTGGAGTGCAGACTTGAGTGATGTTTATGTTGATAGGTTTTCCACAAATTCTGATTGATGTGAATCAGTTGGACTTCGCGTTATAGCCCCACCCACTGGTTGCCTCTTACCTTAATATTAGATCCCCTCCATTTCTTCTGAGTTTGTCATTTCTGGAGTTTTGTTGGCCTGACTTAAAATGTCCCATTCCAGTCCACTTTAGTTCACTCTCAGTACTGCAGTGTTTAGCCATTCCTCCTCTTGCTTTACAAATCCCAATTTGCCTTGATTCAACCTTCTCAAGCTCCGTGTTCCAACACTGCATTGTGCAGCATTGGATTTTCCATTCTGTTTGTTTGTTTAAAACTTTTTTATACTGTCCTCTACCAAATAGTCTTAGGATGGTGTTACAATAAAGCAAAGTAGAGCACAGCATCAGTTCTGTACAATAAAACCCCAATTAAATCTAAATCTAAATCACAATCTAAACCTTAAAATAATGGGAAAATAAAAAGGTTTTGGTCTGGCGCCGAAAAGAACGAAGTGTCGGCACCAGGCGAACCTCTCTGGGGAGTGTATTTCATAACTGAGGCACTACTACAGAGAAGGCCCTTCTCTGGGTAGCTACTCTCCTAATCTGCTTCAAGGAGGGCTCCCAAAGAAGGACCTCCAACTCAGATCTTAAAGGAGGGCACATAGCTTTGTTCCAGTTGCTTTGTTAGTGACTGTGCTATTCATACTTGTCCTTTGCTCTTCTCCAGTAGCTGGTTGAGTGCCTTCTGACCCAGGAATCGCCTCTTTTAGCACTATCTCTTGCTTCATTTTGGGTTGTTTCTCCATAGAGTTTACACGGTAGGAATAGTCAATAGTGGTTTACCATTGCCGCCTTCTTCACAGTATTAGCCAGAGTTAGCTTGAGTTTCGCTGCCATTGAAATATCCTCTATCATTGTCACCTTCAACTAGGGCTGCTGCCCAGTGGGTGCCCTTCAGGAGTTTCTCAGCCCCCATCCCCATTAGAGAGGTCCCTTCTCTTCTGCTGATGTGAGCATTGCCCCTTCAGAGGGTGGATGCATCTCAGTCTAGCGTCTCTGCTTCGGCCATCCCACCCTGGTGTCCTTGCTAGGAGACCAGTCTGTTGAGATAGTCCGGCTTCCTGGTGGCATTGCTCTCGGCTTCTCTGACATTCGCAAACTCCCACACCACCAGAAGGTGTTACATCCAAGAGGAGGAAGACCGTACAAGTCATTTAATAATTCTTAATTCTTGTTGCTTTGTTACCATACTTCTACCCACAATGTTTACATTTGCTAATTGTCTGTCTTCTTTCAGTGTTTCTATCATAGCGATGCTACACCCCCATCTTCTCGTGTTCTGGCAGTCTAACCCAGCTCAAAGTAACCACAAGCACTAGATGACTGAGCAGTCTTATGTGAACATTTCTACCTTCCCAAACTCAAGAGAAGAACTTAGGCAGTTCCCTGAGGAAGGTGAAATGGGCAGTAACCATGGTCTTAGTTAGCATTTTCCTTCAGTTTGCTATTGAAGGATGTTAGCGATAGAGAGCGAACATGAACCCAGCCTGGAGCCACCGCCGTTGTTCACTGGAAGGGCTTGTCACACCTTATTTTCCAGCTCCACTCCCCCACGGGCAACTGTGCACCAAGGTTTCTCTTGTTTGACCTTGAAAAGATAACTACAGAAATCCGTTTCCCATATTTAACCCATTTAACATGATTGCAGTACAGCAGCCTTGATGCAAGAAAATTATGCATACGTAAATGATACGGAAATTTTTCCATGGAAACATAAAGCTTTGGGAAATTTTCTGCCCCACATCACTGCTGAAAGTTTGTAATCATTTTTGTCTCCTTCCTTTCTTCTTTCTTTGACATTTGCACGGACAAAGGTAGTAATAACTATTCCTATAGGCAATATTTAATCAGTGTGCTCCTATTTATGCCTGCTCAGGTGTAAGCCCCATCAGGTTCAGTGGCACCCCATTGTATAGCCTTGGATTGCAATCTTGCACATACATTTCCCTGGGGGTGAGTCTTACTGGACTCATGGGTCTTACTTTGGAGTACACATACATAACAATTGCACCATTGTTGATTTTTTTTAAATCTCTGCATTCTTTATTCCCTTCTTTAATGAAGAGACACATGCAGCCCAGCCATTAGTTTGATCAAATATAAAAACAGGAGAAAAAACTTTCTTGCTTTGTTTCTTCTTTGCACGATTTGCATTTAGATACACCTTCCTGCAGAAAATGTGCTCTGCGTTCGGAAAGGCCCCAGGTTTGATTCTGGTGTTGCTAGCTGAGAGACTGTAGGTGTCTGGATTGGAAAGGATCTCTGGTTCTCATCTTGCAGAACCATGGTCAAACAGCTCGTGGTGCAACTGAGCCAGTGTGGTGTTAAGAGTACTGGGCTGGGACTCAGGTTTCTAGTCCCTACACAGCCATGAAGCTTCAGCCAGTCACTATTTGCGTCAGCCACAGGCCTTAGCATATCACCCATGAAGCTCCTGAGAGGCATTCGACCAGTCATTGACTCTCATCCTAACCTACTCCACAGGGTTGTTGTTGTGAAGATAAAATAAGAGAGGAGAACCTTGTAAGCCCTCTTGGGTTCCTTGCAAGAGGAAGACAGGTGGGGTATAAATGTAATGATCTGTTTAGTAAATCAAAGTAATAAATGTAATTAATAAACCTAACAACAGCAACCCCTGGAGGGCACCAGGCTAGGGAAGAGTAGAATTGACAATAGTGGGCTAGGCAGTCTGACTCCAAATATGGCAATTTTACATTTTCTTGGTGCCCTCCCTTGTTCCAAGGAGCTCAAAAAAGCATACTTAGCTCTCTTCCTATTGGTTTTCTCCTCCCAACAACAACCCTTTGAGGTAGGCTGGACAAAGGTGGGTGGTTGCTCCAATCTGACACTCTAATTCAGACTTTTTCCAGCTGTGTTGAACTACAGCTTCCAGCATTCCTGGTCGTTGCCCATGTTGCCTGGGTATGATGGAAGCTGAAGTTCAGAATATCTGGAAGGTACCACTTCTGTATTACTTTTTGTTTTAACGTCATCCATGAGATCCTGCCAGTATTTAGAGTTCCGCTTCAGAGGGTCCCATTTATACCATTCAGAAATATTTTAAAATATACACAAATGCATATTTATACATTTGTGTGTGTGGTGTACAAAAATAGCAAAAACACCTGCAAAAATAGCAAAACACCTGCTGTGAGGAGTTAGGTTGTGGCCTTAAAAGACAGGGCCTTTCTTTGGCACCTGCATGTTTCTCTTCTGAATGGCTTGTGCTTGATGCCTATGACAAGCTTTCAAACAGGGTTTAAAACGCATCTCAACATGCATTGTTCCCAGGGTGCCTTTGTCTGTTTTTGCTCTTGTTTCGTTTTTGTGCAAATGACTTTATGAGATTCTTAGTAAGCATCCCTATGGTATGGTTTAGATCAGTGATGCTAAACTCCATAAGAAAAGCGCTGCTGGATCAAACCGATCTTCTGTCCGGTCCAGCATTCTGTCCACCCAGTGCCCGACCCAGTACTCCCAACTGGTGTACACAGGCAAGCTGCCTCTGATACTGGGGATAACATAGGACTGGTAGCCATGGATAACTTCTCCTCCCTGCGTTTTTCCAGTCTTCTTTGAAAGCCTTCCGAAGTGGTGACCATCTGTTGTGGAAATGAATTCCACAGTATGTGTGAAGGACTTTTCCCCCCAGAGTAATTGGTACCAATGCGATAGGTCTAATAATGTATGTCTCTTTGGTATATATTGTTTTGTGGGGGCATGGCCCTGGAATTTGGCCTATGATTATATTAATTTAAGAATTTCATACAACAGGGAGAAAGAAACACTCATAAAAATGGATTCTGCTGTATTTTGTACTATGTAACTGCCTAACAAACAACCCATTCATAGTCTGGGATTCCGTTGTCATTACTGTTATTCACCCTCTTTCTGCCTGGGGCATGAGAATATAAAATAAAGCAACATGCTGAACTTTTTCGATAAACTGAAGTAACTCTTCATGGGAACATGCCGTTTTCCAGAATGCCTTATCTTTCTTTTCCCATCTCCCACTAATTTGTCATATCCTGTTTGCTTGAAAAGCCCTTTTTGTTCTGAAAATGAAGGGATGGGTGATTTATACGTGCTTTGCAACTTTTGGTTTAAAAGACCTTTGTTGCTGCAGTGTGGTCTGTTCTCCAGAAGATGTCAGAATAGGATTTCCATGCATACCTGAAGGTTTTCTGTCTCAGCCATGGGAAGACTTGGCAAAAACCGTCTGTGATAATTACCATTGTAGAATGACTAAGTCTTCCCAAAGCTTAATTGCTATAAAATGCACAAAGAGAAATTCCTCAGAAATTCTGGGGTGCCAGTGGAGCCTCTTTTCTCCTATCAAGAAGGGGGAATTGGGGGAAAATCAGGTGGGTGAGAAAAAGATCCCCCCCACCCGGCCACAGTAGTCCAGGTTGGGGCTCTGTGAGCTCACCCAGAGGTAGAGAACATAGCTCTGCTATGCATAATTACACAAAAGTTTAGTTTGGCCCTCAGAATTTTTAGCACCTGTCTTCCACCTTGTCGTGGTGCTTGTGTAGTTCAGTCCCCAATTTCTAACCTGATTTAAGGGGCTGGTTATATTCAGTGCTTGCCCTCCATTGTTCTGGCAGTACATTTTTTACACAGGACAGTAGCGCATGCCAATTATTTTGTCCCCTTTCTAATGTACAATTACAGGGCTGAAGCAGGAAGGCCTTTTCCGAGTGAACGGCAACGTGAGAGTGGTGGAGCAGCTGCGAGCCAAGTATGAGAGTGGGGAGGAAGTGGAGCTGGCTGCAGAGGGCGACATCAGCTCAGCCAGCAGTTTGCTGAAGTTATTTCTCAGAGAGCTCCCGGAGCGGCTGATCACTTCTGTGGTGCATCCCAAATTCATACAGCTCTACCAAGGTGATGCTCTTGCACTGAGCAGACATTCTATACCACCTTTTCCCAACCCGGAGCCTCACGGGTGTGCTGACTACAACTCCCAGCATCCCCCAGCTAGCTCAACACACTCGAAGGAGCCCAGGTTGGGGAAGGTTGCCCTACACGAGCAGTTCTTTTTAATTTTTTTTTTGCTTTGATTCTCTTGTTCTGCAGCTGCAGTGCCATTTGGAAAGTCTTAAGCTGATATATTTGCATTCGGCACCTGAGAGGATCTGTACTTCTAATTGCAGAAATGCAAATGCCAACAATAACAACAATAACTGCTATTGCTGGTATTACTTATTTCATTTTTATATCAAGCCACAGCCGAAGGTCTCTGGGTACGAGTAAATGTGTATGGGTAAACCAGTGTGATTTATGGAAATTTATTTTATTGGATCTTGCTTAGGGGCTGAGCATATATGCTACATGCAGAAAGTCCTGGGGTCAATCCTGGCACTCTTCTTTCTAAAATCTTGGAAAGTCTATATACTGGGGTGCTGAACCTCTGTCCTAGATGCCTGATCCAACCTGCAAAACCTCCTACAGTACAGTTTGCTGTTATCTCCAACCTCAGGTTAGACATAACAGTAGAATGTGTGTGGCAAAAGGGAGAACTGGGACCAGGTAGGCGTCAAGACATGAAGAAAGACATTGCAGGATCGGGGAGAACCTGAATCAGGAATACTAGATCAGCTGTCAAGACTCCTGTTCTTGTGGCAAAGCTGTGCAGAACTGGGAAGCGTATCGCTCCTGGCTGGTCTGCATGATTGCACTGGTTCTGATCCTGCAGCTGCCTATAGATTTGATGCGTAGAAATGGACACAGTGGACTATTTCTCACTGAGATGAGAATTCTGGGTCTGGATGATAACATCTCAAGCTATGTTTAAACAAGGGATAAGCAATATAGTGCCTTACAAGTGTTTTGGATGACATTTCCCATAAACTCCAGCCAATATGACCAGTCATCAGGGATTAAGGGAGTTGTAGTCCAAAATACTTAGTGGGCACCAAGTTATCCACTCTGGTTTGCACAATGGAATAGTCCTCTTTACTTGAAAAACGTAAATGCCTACACAAAGAACACAATGTTAGACAAAAACTTTCTTCCTGACATGCTTGTTATTTTTAATCTTCAGGAATTATTTTGCATAGAGGAGCATTCAGTTGTGTGATACGATTTAAAGCAGTAACAGTCCAGATACAGGAATACTTAAAATATTTTTATCCCACACCACAGCCAAAGTCTCTCAAACTAGTTTATAATGAATCAGTGAAACAAGGAAGTCTCTGCACACAGTTTTATAATGCAAAAATGCACGACACACAAGGAAAGAAGGATGGGGAGGGAAGAGGAAAATATTAAGTAGACTTTTTGCAAGCTGGAATGGCCCTGCTTATTTGTGCAGTCCAGAGCTGCAGGCAGGCCAACTGGAACAGACTTTGTCATTTACTGTCTCCATCACTACACCTCATTGAAAACGAGATGACTTATTAGAGCAAAACATGCCACTCATCAGTAGAACTATTTTTCTTTTTTGCTGTAGCCCACACATTAAACATTTGTATACAATTTGCAAAATGCCAAATGCTTTGTAGTAGAAACAGAAGTGTTTTCCTACACTGCCAGTTCATTTGTGCTGGGTTCTGCAATAACAGCAGCCTGCCGCTCTGCTATTTTTGGCCTTTTCCCGGTGAGCGTCTTTTCCAAGGCTGCTTGTCCCCCCTGATCTTGAGCTTGTATTTTGATAAGATCAAGGTTAGCCGTGAAAAAGAAGAATGGCTTTCTTGTTTGTGGCAGTAAAGGTCCAAGATACATATCACACAGCAAAGCACACAAAGCTCTGTTTTGTGTTGGAAATAATGTTCCACAAAGGAGAATAACAGCAAGGGGATGTGCATTCTTGCATTGTTTACAGGCAACACAAGTGGTGATTTAGGAAGTGGGTTAGAGGACTGGACTTTCTGCAATATTCTTAATTTCACGGCTGGGAATATTTTAGGTAGCGGAGAAGCACTGGACGGCCTGATGTGAGGCTGCCCCAAGCAGTAATGCCATCTCTCTCTCCTAACACCTGCAAGGAAGTTCGGTCACGCAACTGTGCAGACTTTTTTGTCTTCTGTGGTTCATGTGTCCCTTCAGTGTAACTTACATTTTCATGGAAGTACAGAAGAGGCTTGCAGTCCTAGTAGCCTTTAAACCACTCTTAAATGATCTCAGCCTGTTTATTTGATTTATATCCCACTTTTCCACCCAAAATGGCGCTAGTGGCTAACTAGAACAAAGCTGAGATTAAAGTTTAAAAATGTGTTTTTAAATCGATTGAAAAACAGAACAATAAAATAAATAAAAACAGCATCCAGCCCAATAGAGCCCCGTCAGGAAAAGACCAGCTTAAATGGCAAAGGTTTGCCTGAGTAACAGCATCTTTGCGTAATGGTGGAAGGACACTACATAGGGAGTTCCCTTGACAGGGAGTTCCAGAGCCTGGGAGCCACAACTGTGAAGGCCCTGATACTGCCTCTTTCTTCCACAACCAACCACCCCGCCTGCTGATTATATTTAGTCCTATATACTTGGGCAGCCCAGTATGCTCTGTAATCAAATTGCTGATATAGAAAGAACAAGTGCCATTGAAAGAACAAGTGCCATTGGAGAGCCAGGGTGGTGTAGTGGTTAAGAGCATGGGACTGGGACTCTGACGACCTGGGTTCTAGTCCCCGCTCAGCCATGGAACCAACTGGGTGACTTTGGGCCAGTCACAGACTCTCAGCCCAACCTACCTCACAGGGTTGTTGTTGTGGGGATAAGATGAAGGAGGAGATGTAAGCTGCCTTGAGCCCTTTGTAGGAAAAAGGCAGGCTATAAATCCAAAAATACATTTAAAAAAAATTAGCTTTCCCTCCTTTAGCTCATGTTTCACCTGCCCTTGGAAATCCTCTCTTCCCCTTTAAATCAAGCCTTTTAAATAGTGGCAGGCCTATAAAATTTATTATTTATTTATTAAAAGCATTTCTACCCCATCCTTCACTGAATATCAGCAAGTGCTTAGCTATCCGGTAGCAAGTAGCATCTCAGGAAGGTCATCAGTGGTGTTCAGACAATCTCAGTTTATTCAGCTCAAGGGATCTCAGATAGGGAGGACTTGCCTGCCAGTCAAGTTACTGTACTTAGTACCGAGCTGAGCAGACCTATGGTTTGACTCAGTGTAATGCAGTTCATACATTTATAAGGCTGAGTACTGCCTAACAAGTTGCGAAGACCAGAACAGGGTTTTTGATTTCATGTATATCCCACTCTTCTGACGAAAATGCAACTGAAGGCAGATAACCAACATCTTAAACTATAACTTAAAATACATTAAAAACGTAAAAGAAAAGACAGAAACAGAAGCAACCAGCCTCGCTTTCCTCTTACATTTGAGAAGCTTTCTTGAACCAGTGCCTAGGTCTGCCAGGAGGACAAGATCGAGGGGGACAACTTAGCCTCTGGACAGGGAGTTTCAGTATCTGAGAAGGCCATCTCCCATGTCCTGCCCAGATCTCCACAAGTGTCCACATTTTTGCCTATGAAGACCAAACTTTGTGTCTGGCTTGTCTTGGTATATTCTTGACAAATATTCTTGAATAGCCAAATTAAAGTGGTAAACCTAGGACTTTCTGAAGATGCATAGTGTACATGCAGCTGGGAAAATTGTAGGTCTTACATGCAGCCAATACAGTACAGCATCCCTCCATTGAGGAGCTTTATTAGTGACAGCCACTACAAAGACTCCATTATAAATAGCAATATTCAATCTTTTTTCCTAAGAGAAACTAACTTTCTGGATATCAGCCTGATTAGCAAATACCTCGGAGAGGTAATTGCCTCTTTCAACCTCCTGCTGACACTTCAGCCCATTTGGTACTTTTTCATTTGAACAAAGACCCTGTTTATCCCTTGGAAAAAACCCAGCAAGATGTTAATGCCATCCAGGATATTTAGTCAAGGTGGTTATAATCGAAATCTAGTTGGCACCAGACAAGTTAGCCTCGGTAGGTCTGGCTTCCCCATTTTTAAAGTCGTCTTAGCAATGCAAGACATAAACCAGGTTACATATCACCAATTCAGTCCTCTGATCCATGGCATGGAGACTCAGAAACATGCATGGACTCACATTCTCTCTCCTCCTTGCCCGTGCATGGGATTCCCTCCTCTGCTTTCTGTTTCCCCCCTCTAACTATAGTTAGAACACCTGGATCAGCAAGCTGCAGCTAGCTCCTTGCCACCAAACCATAGGCAACAGCCCATGTTTCTGCTGTGCCTCTGCTAAGTCTATTGTCCCAGCCAAACTGCTTGAGCAACAGCAACGAGCCATTCCCAGAATGAATGGAAATATCCATTCCCTTCTGTGAGCTCCATTGACCTTTCCCTTGCATTAGCAGGGTTTCCATTCATTTCCATTTGTTTGAGGAAGCAGTAGTTCCCTATGGGTTGAAGTTAGTTTGCAGATAGGAGGCAGGTGCTAACCATAATGTGCACAATCAGATGTCATGGTACGTTACACTTAGAGAGCAGGGTGAAAGTGGAGCAAGAAAGTGTGGCCGAGAAGCAATGCACAAGCCTTTGGTATGTTCTCAAATGCCTGGTCTTGGCTGCTTGTTAAGAAAGGCGTAGACAGCATGTGGTCTTGTGAACATTCAGAATTTCATAATATTCAGTCAGAGCACTGAGTAGCCAAGCACAGTCTATCTATTATTATTATTATTATTATTATTATTATTATTATTATTATTATTATAACATTTCTATGCCGCCCCTTGCCGAACCTCGGGGCGGCTTACAACATGATAAAATACATTGAAATACAATAGTACATCTACACAGACACCTACCTAAATACCAACCCTAGGGAGATGGCTAGCTTTCAGAAACCTGTCCAAATAAAGACAGATGTGCTCTTCTACTTGAAATCCTTTTCATTGCAGATACCAGGAAATAAACTTGGCCCCTGCATTTGAAGCAAATGCCCTACCATTGTATTGGCGGCCTTCATCACAGGGCATCCTATCTTCCTCTCAAGGCAATCTCCGTGACCGCTCAGTGGAGACTCATGGTAGACCCATGGTGGTTCATTTGTGTGGGCAGAAAAGGAGAAGGGATGCATCACCTTGGGATGGATCATGGCTCGGTGATAAGGCACATGCTTTTCATGCAGAAGGTCCTGGGCTTGGTCCTGGGCATCTTTGGTCAAAAGTGTCTGACATCACTGTGTTGGCCCAAACACGTGACGATTTATCGGTCTAAAGTGGCGTATGTGTTTGACTACTTGGTGAGACATCTAACTTCTTGTCTCGCCAAGAACATTTCCCCACATACCAGTTGCAGATAGGCGATAAATAGTCATCTCTACCCACCCATAAAAAGCTTTGTTCTGCTTGTTTTGCACTGGGCATCCTGCTATTTTAAATGCGAGGACATGATATCCGTACCACAGCTGTTCGGATCATAGAGTTAAAGATGTAGCAACTGCAGCCACAAGCCCTCGGCCACAAGAGAGCGCCTCAAAGCATGACCTCCTCCTCTGTTGCTTGATGAGCAATCACAACAGCATTCATAGCCATCTCAGATTCTCCAGATAGTTCAGGTTAGTGGAATTTGGAGTTTGAACCGAGAATATTGAGAGGCTGAGTCACAAGGCATCACTGCCAGAAGGACTGGCCATTTGTCATGTGCTTAAGCCAGGATGGTACGTAGGGCTGTACCTAGGGTTAGTCTTTTGTCAGAGGTCCTTTCCTTTCAAAGATTAAACCATGGGCATATGAGAATATTCCTCACATGAGATTAATGACATATGATACTGTTGTGCTATCGAAACATTGTAAGCACAGCTTTTATTCCCAAAAAATGCCCTTTTCATGACTGATAGTTTGATCCACACACAGTTGTTTGGTTTTCTTTGATTTCTGCTTTTCCCAATCTTAAGTTCCGTTCGTCCAGAACATAGCATGTTTTAAATTTCCGTTTGCAGATAAATGAGCCTACACCCCAATTTTTGTATGTATTTTTGTATGTTTCCCAATATACACATTTTTGCAAACAATCTTCCTAACACATTTAGAATATGATTTTCATGAATATATGCACTTCTGTGTGCACCACTCCCTAATATACAAATACTTGTATGCATTTTTTGATTGGAGAATACCATTGGAAGTTCTGAGAAATGCTAATAGCAAAGAATAACTGATTTTTGATTCACACATTGATTCAAAAGTGCAAAATTAGGTAAGTGAACATTAAAATGTACCCTGAATTATTTTTTTCTTCATTCCTAGATTCAGGCCAATTTGTGCTCTTAGAATGGTATTGGCTTTTCTCAAGCTCAGAATCCCCCCTTTTCCCCCCAGCACAAATGTGCAGAATGGCCCCGGTGCAGCCGGATTACATGAGTTGTTCCTCATCCAGGGCTAGAGCATGTTGTTTGCATGCCGAAGAGTTTCAGTCCCTGACATCCCTTGCATAGGAAGAGGAAGAAAAAGTGGCAAGTAGCCAGCGATGTGAAAGATCTTTGCTCAAGACGGTGGGCAGCAGCTTTGTGAAATCTGCTTCACTGAATGCCTTTCTCCAGGCGCCAGTCCAGTCTGTGGGTTTAACCCCACTCTGTGTCTGATATTGTCGATTGGATCTTCAGCACAAAGTGTGCATAACTGCCTATTTTTCCCTTCTGTTTTCCCTTCTCTTTACAGACACCCCAAATTACTGTCTGAATGTCAACACTTTGAGGGAACTCTTGTGGCAGCTACCTGAGGCTCATTATTCTCTGCTTAAGTACCTTTGCCACTTCCTGAGGAAAGTTGCTGAGCATCACTCAAAGAACAAGATGAATGTTTCCAACCTTGCTACTGTTTTTGGACCAAACTGCTTTCGGTAAGTGCTTTGCTTAAGAAAAGTTCCCCGTTTGGAGAAGAAATTTGGCTGCAGCGCAGGATGCGCACTTGAGCAATAAACAGGCAGTGATGCTTTACTAAAACACATTGGCAGTTGTGTTCCTATGAATATAATCTAATTCGTTGATTTTATTTATTCATTTCATTTCTATACCAGCCATAGCCAAAGCTCTCTGGTCAGTTTATAATGAAGTATAAAAACAATAAAATGCGACAGATAAAAATTTTAAGAATTAAAAAATAATGTAATACAACATAAAAGAACATTAAACGACAATAAAAAGACCTGGCCAAGAATAAAAGAAAAGCACCTCGCTAGTCGTATCAGGCCCCTGAATGACCAGAGAGGTCTTTAAAAGCCTCCACAAAGAGGACTTTAAACCTGGTACTGAAGAGATGACAAAGGCAGGCCATAGCAGGAAGATGGGAGGGGCATCTCCAAAAGATGTTCCAACTATGGGGGGGCACCACCAAAAGGCCCTCCTAGTCGCCACTCTCTAAGCCTCTTGAGGAATTGGCCCCCAGAGGAAGGCTGTAAAGACTGAGCATAGTGTCTGAGTAGAGCAGGGTTGGGAGAGGTACTCTGATAGGTATTGTAGTCCCAAGCCATGTGGGACTTTATAGGTTAAGACCAGCACCTTGAATTGGGACCAGAAGCAGACAGGCAGCCAGTGTAGGTGGGCCAGAACTGGTCTTAAATTTGGACCTCCGGGTTCCCATTATTAATCTGGCTGCCACATTCTGTATCAGCTGCAGCTTCTGAACCATCTTCAAGGGCAGCCCCACGTAGAGTACGTTGCAGTAATCTAGAAATTACCAGAGCATAGATTACTGAGACCAAGCTATCCTGTCCAGGTAGGGGTGCAGCCGAAGCTTATAGAAAGCATTCTGACCCACGGCTGCCACCTGAGCGCCATGTGGAAAGATAGATGAAGGAGCACCCCCCAAACTACAAACCTACCCCTTCAGGGGGGGTACCCCATCTAGAACAGGTTGAACACCTCCCATCTGGTTAAAGGAATCACCCACCAACAGCATCTCAGTCTTGTCTGAATTGAGTTTCAGTTTGTTAGCCCTCATCTTTCCACTACTGTAGTCAGACACCGGTTTATCGTCCACAACCTCACTTGCCAACGATGACTGATAATAGCTCACTCCAAAGTGCTGGATGAGCCCACACATGTAGACGTTAAGCAACGTGGTAGGCAAGACTGACCCCTGGGGAACCCCATTCTGGAGAGTCCACAGGGATGAACAATGTTCTTGGGCACTTGTGGGGTGGCTGAGCATTGGTAGATGTCCAGGCAAACTTGGTAAGAGCAGTACAGGGTCTCTGCAGCTTTTGCCAAGGAAGCTGTGAGCTGATCGCTGCGGTCAGTTGCCCAGGTTTAGATGACATGACTCTCCACTGTGGGTACAACAACTCATATGACAAGCTGGGTTTTATGAGGGTAGCTTACAGGGTGGTCTGTAGCTAGTTTGCACAGCATAACAACAATGGGTTGTTAAGTCATGTAAACCCAGTCTGTGCATGCATCTTGCAAGGAATTGTGGAAATTATGAAAAGGTTAAAAAGGCATGCACTTCCCCTCCCCCTCAGTAATGCTTCTATTTATTACACAAAATTCCTTCCTCAATCCATGTTTAATGCAATAATTTTGAATCATGAAACATTAAGTTCTATGAGGGATTTTAAAACATTGAACCAATGTAAACAACTTAGACTCCATTAACACACCTACAATTTATACTCTGTAAACCTCTCAAATCCTTAAAACCTAGAAGAATAAGACCTTTCATGAGTAGGAAAACACCGAAACAATGTAAGTCTCTTAGACATCATTAAGACGTACAGTGCACAAACTATTAGTTCATTCCATTCTCTACCAGACAACTTGTTCATGGTACATTGTTCCCCCAATGACTTCATCAGTATTCAGTGAGATTTTAAAGGCACAGTTCTCTGCATGTTTCGACCGAAAAAAGTCTTGCTACTGCCAACCTACCTATGCTTTGTGAAGAGCCCAAGGTGACTTCCATAGCTCCATTTTATCCTCACAACAACCCTGTGAGGTAGGTTGGGCCAAGAGTGAGTGACTGGCCCAAAGTCTCACCCAGTGAGCTTCATGGCCGAGTGGGAACTGGCACCAGATCTCCTGAACCCAAGACCAACACTCACCACCTCACCGTTGTTCTTTCTTCTGTCTCATCTGTGTATTTCGGATATTTCTAAGTACATAAGCATTCCCGGGCCTGCACCCTGCAGCAGATGCATGGAAGCCTCCAGACTAGGCTGCGTCTGTGCATGGCATGGGGCAGAGCAAGGTGTGGGAACGATCCCTGCTTTTGCTGTGCTGCCCCCTGCCCTGTGTTCAGCCATCTAGATAAAGTGCTGGGGAGGGAGGGATGCAAGAACTGGCATACATAGGCCACCTAGCCCCCCTTCTCCGCCCCCTGGCAAGCCCCCTTTTCCCAGGTGCATTCCTGTTTTTGCAGATGCAGCCAGCACAGTTCTTTCTCTGCCGGCTGAAAGTGGGCTAAGCCAGGGATTCACTGGAGTCCCAGCACTGATGTCACAAGATGCGATGCGAAACTCCAAAGAATCCTGTGACACCAGCCATAGATTGGCGCCCTGAGATGCTTGCTTTGTGATTTGCATACATGGAGCCTTGCCTTCCATTCCTTTCACTTTAGTAAGGGAGTCAGTGAGGTGTAGTGGTTAAGAGCGTGGGACTGGGACGCAGGTGATCTGGGTTCTAGTCCCCGCTCAGCCATGGAGCCAACTGGGGGACTTTGGGCCAGTCACAGACTCTCAGCCCAACCTACCTCACAGGGTTGTTGTTGTGAGGATAAGATTGAAAGTAGGTGGATGTAAGCCGCTTTGATTTCTTTAAAAAAAAAGCAAAAGGTGGGATATAAATCTAATAAATAATAAATACATGCTCTTCGTGCCTAAACAGCGCACCCACAGTTCTTAATGCTTCCTGCCCTTGGAGATCCAACACTTGCAAATCCAGCTTAATCTTTCTCCTGTAAAGGGGAGCTTCTTACTTGAGGAGGTGGCAGGCCGTCTGTTCGTCTCTTTGCATTTGATAGAGAAGAAAGATAGGTCATTTGTGGGTCACATGCTTCTTATATTTTTATTCTTTTTTTAAAGACCATATAGGTTTTTAATATCTGATTTATTTTTGAATTCAGCTTTGGGAAGACTCCTGCCTTGAGAGGCAGCCAAGAAATAGTTTAAATAAATAATGCTTTGTGAGTAGAAGATTCTGGGTCCAGTCATATTAACCAAGAAGCTATAAAGATTTATAAATGAGTTTGTACATTAAAGCTGTACTCCCACTATGCACTACGATGACCTAAGCTGGCCGTGTGTCTATTTGGAGATGCATTCATTCTAGTGAGCTAGCATTCATCGTAATTTCTTATCCATTTAATTGTAGAATTTAGACAGAAGAAACCCTTTATCCTGATATGAACAGTTTTGAATTGCCGAATTTATGTCAGCAATTTTGGAGAAAATTTTATTTTCTCCAAACAGGTGCTCTCTTTGATGTCTTGAGCTAATGCTGATTGGAACTGAAGGCCAAAACTTTTAAAGAAATTGGCACCAAGTTGGAGAAGCCTGGGTTATATTATGGAGAGCCTCTTATAGGCATAAGAGATACTCCAGTTTCTTCCTCTTTACATGCTTTCTTTGCTTCACTCTTTTGAAAAGCCACCTGCATCTTTCCGTGATGCTAAAATTCATTTGATAGCTTCAGGTTGCTGCCTTTTCTCTAGGGCAGAATGTTTTTCTTTGTAGATGCTTTGCAGCTGATCTTGCCCTTTTCTGCCCCTTGTGACTTTCTTGTTTATGGTGCTCTGGAATCTACAGTGGGCAGCAATAAAAGGATCTCTGAAGGACTTTATTTGTGCAATATGCAAATAGTGTTCTTGATGGCCTTGTGTCTTGCTGGAACTAGCTATGTATTTCTAAGATAAAACCTAGGGAAATATGTACTTTAAGGACAACCTGAAGCCAGGATTAACTCAACACCTAAAGCAAAATGCCTGTGGTTGGATACTAGAGGGATCTGGTGCTGTTTGCACACCTTGCCTTCCAAGTAGAGACCTCATTGTTCTGTGGGAGCAGCCATGTTTTGCATGCACTGGATTCCAGGTTTCAGACCTAGGATCCCAGAAAGAAAAGCTGGGACAGACCCTGGGGGGATGTTCCCATTTGGGAGTAGACAGGACTGAACTAGACAGAAGAATGTGCTGATTCAGTTCAAAGCAACGTCATATGTTCCACTAGTTATATAGAAGGCTGTGGTAAACAGTTTGTACGCAATTGCTCTTGAACCAAGTCTTTACCTTTTCCATGCTTGGAACCACCCTGAAATCCATCCTTCACAAGGAATTTACTTTCCTTAAAACAACAACAACAACAACAACCTTATTTCTAACGTGTTTTTCTTTGTGGGCCTCTTACCATACGGATATCTTCCCTTCTCCTTTTCAACCAATTGTCTTCTAGAAAGACCACAGAGACACTGTAAAAAAAGTCACATGTGTCACACTGTCAGCCCCTTGGGGGCTTCCAATATGGCTCCTTGAGGTTCCCTAGAAGGCCACACGTTTTCCTCATCAGCTGGGCATTTGAAGTTACTTGAGGCTCATGGCATCAGCGTCAGTGAGGTGGCCTGTCTGCTCCAGTTTAACCCTGAGTTTGGGGAGCTATCCATACACCAGCACAGCTTTGGCAACACAGTTGGCTCCTTCAAAGTTCAAACTAAAACCTGACGTCAGTCTATCACCCCACAGACTTTGGAACCATCAGCTACTGAAACGTAGTGTTGCCTGGCTTTTGCCCAGTGCCCCACCTGTTTTTCCAAAAGCTTGAAATGCCCTTCCTGAAATTTAATTACTGATCCCGAGAGCTTTAAACTCAAATACGCTGAAACTTCTAATACGTCCGACGTTTTGCTCCCACCC